TACAGTTCTTGTGTCCTCAGCATATAAAGGACATGGGAACTGTTGGAACAAGTCCACAGAAGGGCCACAAGGATGATCAGGGGACTGGAGCACCTCCTGTATGAAGATAGGCTGAGAAAGTTGGGGCTGTTCAGCCTGGAGAAGAGAAGGCTGCGTGGAGACCTCATAGCAGCCTTCCAGTATCTGAAGGGGGCCTATAAGGATGCTGGGGAGGGACTCTTCATTAGGGACTGTAGTGACAGGACAAGGGGTAACAGGTTAAAACTTAAACAGGGGAAGTTTAGATTGGATATAAGGAGGAAATTTTTCCTGTTAGGGTGGTGAGGCACTGGAATAAGTTGCCAAGAGAGGCTGTGAATGCTCCATCCCTGTCAGTGTTCAAGACCAGGTTGGACGAAGCCTTGGGTGAGATGTTTTAGAGTGAGGTGTCCCTGCCCATGGCAGGGGGGTTAGAACTAGATGATCTAAAGGTCCTTTCCAACCCTAACCATTCTATGATTCTATGAATTGTAGCATAGAAGATTTTTCGTTAAAGATCACCAAAATCCTTGTAAAACTAAGAAGAGTAGTACTGTGATGGATTACCAGAAGAGATTTGGCTGCTAAGAGTAAGCTAGACAAAGGCCTCCTGAAAACAGACTATTCTCTTGCTTTGGGGCAGAGCAGTTAACATCTGTTAGAAACCTTCCTCAGCCCCAAGAGGCTGTTGCTAACATATTTACTACACCAACATGTAGCTATTTATCAGGATAAGTCCTGACCCTCAGAGCAGGCAGCAAACACCACACTGTCCCACATTGTGTTTGCTGTCTGGGCAGATGAGAAAGCCAGATAAAGAGAAATATACCATTAATATTAAAACTTAGTATGAAAACTGCTGCAAAAAGCACCTCAGAATACCTTTTTGGAGGGTAACTCTATGGAACAAGTGACAGAAAATAAGTGTGGCAGAAGAACCACACTAAAACAAATGGGAGGCAATTCCAGAAGTAACAGAGGCACCAAGTCCCCAGCACATGACAAATCCAACACTGCTGTTAATCGCCACCTACCAGGCACCACTAAGCTGTACTGGCTAAATTCATTCTCCCATCCTCTGCCACAAGGACAGGTAAAATCCACAGGGGTCCTTCTGTCCCAGAAGACACCCAAACCAGTACAAGTGTGGAGGTTGCTGGAGTTTCCAACTGAGCCATCAGACTGATAATATGCTTTTCTTCTGCTCCTGCCTTAGTTCTATCTCCACTAAATTCAGCAATAACCTAGCAGGAAGAAATAAGAAGCTTTGTTACATCCTTGTGTAGGTACCAATAATTGTTACGAGCTCAGTCACAAGTACTCCCAGAGACAGAATATCTCATCTTTGCACTACTGCTGTCTGCTACTGACCAGAGATGAGCACACACTCACACTAGAGCTGTAGAAACTGCATCCAGTTTCACAGAATAGTGTGTGACAGGAAGTATTCCTGCAGCACAAGCTCCAGCTCAGGACCCACAGCTCCTACACAGACCTGTTGAAAAGACACCAAGCTCTTCATCCTCATCAATATATACCAACATCTCTAAGGCTGGTGCTAGGGGAATGGTGCCAGACTCTTTTCAGTGGTAGCCAGAGACAGGACAAGGACAAATGACCATAAAGTAAAACACAAGTTTCCCCTCAACATAATAAAGAGCTTCTTTTTACTGAGGGTGGCAGAGCACTGGAACAGGCTGCCCAGAGGGGTTGTGGAGTCTCCCTCTCTAGAGACATTTAAACCTATCTGTACATATTCTTGTGTAACCAGCTCTGGGTGGCCCTGCCTTGACAGGGGGTTGGACTGGATGATATCCAGATGTCCCTTCCAACTCTAATGGTTCTGTGATCTGTACCACAAACCTAGCACTCTCAAGCATGTTAAAGCACATATGCTCCCAACAAGACAAGAAGCACAAAAACACTTTAACGGCTATGTTAGGGAGCACATTTCCCAGGACAAGGGCTATGCCAGACAAGGCAGACACCACAGCCCCCAGAGCTTGGTGCTGTGCAGGCTCCATAGAACCACATATAATAGTTTGGGTTGGAAGGGGTCTTAAAGCTCATGCAGTCCCAACCCCCTACCACAGGCAAGGACACCTTCCACTAGACCAGGCTGCTCCAAGCCCCGTCCAGCCTGGCCTTGAACACTGACAGGGATGGGACAGCCACAGCTTCTCTGGGCACCCTGTGCCAGCGCCTCAGCACCCTCACAGGGAAGAGCTTCTTCCTTGTATCTAACCTGAACTGCCCCGTTTAAGTTTAAACCCATTCCCCCTTGTCCTATCACCACAAGCCCTGATGAAGAGTCCCTCCCCAGCATCCTTACAGGCCCCCTTCAGATACTAGAAGGCTTCTATGAGGTCTCCACACAGGCTCTCTCTTCCAGGCTAAGCACCCCCAATTTTCTCAGCCTGTCTCTATAGGAGAGCTTCTCCAGCCCTGATAATCCCCGTGGCCTCCTCGGGGCTTGCTCCACCAGCTCCATGTCCTTATGTTGACAATACTTGATCTGTATACAGTGCTGCGAGTGGGGTTCCACGAGAGACCACACAACGATGTGTCCAAAGAGGAGGTCGGAGCTGTCACAACCAGTAACTGCAAGGCTGTTACGGTAAGCCTCACAACTAAATAGCTTCCAAGCACATTATCCCGGCCCGGGCCTTCCTAGAGGCTAGGTCTTAACCTTCGCGGTGAGGTAGGCCGGGGCACCCCAGCGGCAGACCCCGCGCCGGTAGAGTGCCCCGGCCTACCCCACCGCGGAGCCGGCAGACCTCATCTAACGATCCACCGACCGCCTGGGGACAACCCCATAGGCGGCTGCGCCCAACCCTCCCTGTGGCCCCTGGAGCCCAGCCCCGAGTCCAACCCACGTCAAACCCCACCACCCCTCACCTGCACCCCGGTGAACTCCACTACCGGACGTCGTCCTTCCCGCGCAAGGAATGCCGGGAGCCCTCCCGACTACTAATTCCAACATCCTCTGCGGCGGGAAAGGGAAGCTCCACCTCCTAAGACTCAGGGCCAATAGGCGGAGCCTCTGTGAGGAGGCGGGGCGAAGAACAGCCAATGGGATTTGGCGCTGGGAGGGAGGGAGGGCTGGCGGAGCTAGACCGGTGGCTGAGGTACTGGAGTGCGGAGTGGTGGTCGCGGTGGTTTCACAGGTCTTTGAGCAGTGTTGTTGCTGACTGGCCCCTCCTGGGTTAAATTCATCTCTTAAGTCACGTTGGCGCCCGCCGGGAGCGGCTTCAGGAAGGCGGGTCGGGAGCGCGGGCGGCCGCTGACGGTGTTGCCGTGGCGACGCGGCCCGTGCCGCCATTTTGATGCTCGGTTGTCGGGGGGTCCTTCAGCAAGCGATACCGAAGCACTGCGGGTCCCGGGACCTGCCGGTAAGGTGGGTGCCGAGGGCAGGCGTTAGCTCATCCACAGGCCCTCGGCGGGCCAGTGAATACAACCCTGAAACCAGGGTTTCTTTCCTGCCCGCCTCCTGCATCTTCTTGGCGTCTCCCTTCTGTCACACCCTGACAGTGAGGCTCCTGAACGGAATTCGCAGGAAATGTCACCTCTGGTGACATGGAGAAGCTCGGGACTTCATGGTCATAGAATACTTTGGGTTGGAAGGGACCTTGAAAACCAATTTAGTTCAACAAACCCCCTCCTCCCCCCCCCCCCCCCTTTCAATGAGAAGGGACATCTTCAACTAGATCACGTTGCCCAGAACCACATCCAGCCTGGCCTTCAATGTCTGCCAGGACAGGGCATCCACCACCTCTCTGGGCAACCTGTGCCAGAATTTTACCACTGTCATTGAGAAGAGTTTCTTTCTTGCATCCAGCCTCAATCTCCCTCTTCTAGTTTAAAACCACCACACCTTATCCTATCACAACAGGCCCTGCTAAAAAGTCTCTTCCCATCTTTCTTATAGGCTCCTTCTAAGAACTCAAAGGCTGCAATAAGGTCTTCCTGGAACCTGCATGTCTCCAGACTGAACATCCCCAGCCTTTCCTCAGACCCTCTGACCATTTTTGTGGCCACTGTCTGGACCCATGTCTCAATTGGCCCAAGCTCTCCAGAAAGTTTTTGTTGTGTTACAGCTAGAAAGTCTGCACTTTATTTTAAACATAAAGTACTGCTTTTTCCCAGAGAAGATGCTGGATTAGATGACTGATACATCAGATCCAGTATAACATCCTTAACATTGGGAGACTGAGCTCTCAAGTTGGCAGAGGGAGCTGCAGAAGACTGTTTTTATCCACACAAGACTCCTCTTGTTCCTTGCAACCTCTGCCTGCTGTCAGAGCACAGTAGTGCCGCCTTGGAGAGGTTTCCCTCCACTCTACCCAAATCAGTCAGGTGTTTTCTAGAATGGACAAAGCCACCATTATGTGGATATGGCATATGAAGTATTTGCAAATGTGCTTTCCAAGTTGTAAGCTTCCCTAAGCATGAGATGAGTGTCACTTTAGAGGAGCATTATCAGTCCATGCCAATGCAAATAATAGTGACAGTGTAATCACATGGACAGTTATTTCAGTACTGAATAACATACAAACCTCTCAACCTTTCTTGCCAAACAAATTATTTGCTTTCACTTTTGAATCCCCAGGAAACTGTGCAACTGTAGCTTAAAATGTTAAAAGCAAAGGTTTTCCATGAGGATTAGTTATCTGACTTGTTAGTACAGCAGTAGTCCCTACTGTGTTTTCTTGACTCCTCATGTACATCAAGGAACACATGAGGAAAGAGTTTGCTTTATAAACACTTTGAAAGGTCAGAACCCAAGACCATGCCTACTCTCAACTATTTTTATAGAAATCCAGTGAAAAAAAAAACCAAACATAAATCATTTTATCTATCATCTGAGCAGTGAGGAGGGGAACATGGGAGAAATAGGGATGAGGAATAAACACCAGCTGAGAGCAGAGGTATCAGCTCTGCCTTCCCTGCATGTCTTCCCTTTCCATGCAGCAGTACTTCTCTGAGAACAGTTACAAGTCAGTGTTGCTAAGAAACCCCAAAAATGGTTTATGAGGGGCTAAACTGCCTCTGATGTGGCCCCAATTATGGGTGTATATGGTGAGCAGGGCAGAAAGCTCTCAGCTCTCTGAACTCAGGAGGAAAGGCACAACTCCAAAAGTGCGTTTTATTGTTCTCTGCTGATAGTGAAAACCCTGCTGAGAATTATAGTGACCCTGAAAGCACATGCTTTGTTCTTGTTCTGTTCTGATGTTACCTCTTGTGTTCTTTTGTGAGGTGTATTTCGGCTCATCTTTCATTTGGCTGAAGGGAAGCTGTTCCAATGGCCTCAGAAAGGCAAAGAGAGGATACAGAACACCTGTTTGAGCCTCCTGCAGCTCCTTTTCAGAGTGGCAGAACATTTCAATGGGGAGCTATACTTGCTGCAGTGAAAGATCAGCTCCCATCTCTGGACTCTGATGACTCCACAGTAAGCATTGAAACCTGCCTTTTTTCTCACTGTCTTCTAGAAAAATCTCTCTCAAGCAAGAGAAGGTCATCCCAGCCAGGCATTTTCCAGTAGCTAGTATGATATCCTCGGCGGGCTACCTGTTCTAACTGTTGGAACACTGTGCATTAATCCACAGCCTTCTGGATTATCTCTAATTGGCAAAGTGTAAATGCCATCTCCTCTCGTCGTGTTCTTTGGAACCGGAAAAGGGGACTGTTTTCTCCAGACAATGAGTATTCCCAGGCTGGGAAGAGGAGGCAGTGGGCACCTTGCAGAATGAACCCACATTTCTTCTGTGTTCGGTTAAAAATACAGTATGAAAGAAGTATACTGTTGATTTAAAATGAGATTATAAGGTTTTATGCGTGAGTGTATTAAGTTACTCGTTCCAATAATGTACTTGCCGGACAGTAGCCCTGTGGGTATGTTTTTGTATGTATGAGGATCACAGGGAAGTGATATTCCTGAAGACTTTGTGGTCCACTGGAAAAGGCATTTGGCAGATATTTCAATCCTGGATTCTGCTTTTTTCCCTGCCTGTAATTCTCCACAGGCCATGTTGCCTTCTTGTGCTTCAATTCTACCTGCAAAGAAGCATAATGCCATGAATCATTTAACATAAAGCCTAAGATTGATAGATACTATGCAATATGCTTCACCATGTACTTGCTGGGTCTTAGTCTCTGGGACAGGCTGCCTCGTGGCTGCTGAAGATCTCTGTTCACAGGACAGTGACAGTCTGGTGGAAATAAAAGCTTCTCTGGCACAAGATGCTGCCTCTGGCATTGATTTTTCTGAGGTGATAATGCATCTCAAGGTTTGATTATTAGTGGCCTTTTATCTAAACCAGAATATTTTGTTAATTTTCAAGCATGCATAAACTCAAATTTTTAATTTTTTTTTTAACACTGAAAGGATATATATTCTTAGTGTGGCCCTTACTGATAGAAAGGGAGTCTTGTGAGCAGTGAAGGAGCCAGAAATGCCTCCATGTGGTATTTATTACTTCAGACTAAGTCAATCATCAGAAGCAGGGTGAGCTAGTGGATAAAGTGGTGATACGGATTCCTTGACCGGTTTTCTGCACCCAGCTCTGTCTCTAACATGTGGGACAAGTTATAGTGCCTCAATGTTTCTCAGTTTCTCTCTACCCACGTTCTGGTTTGGTTATTTAAAACAACAATTTCTATATGTGTCTATATAATTAGGTTAAAGCCCAGTACTCAGGAGTTGGTTTTAGGCATTCTGACTGTGTAAGTGTACAATAAAGTTAAAACAGAGAGGCAGCTTATGTGACAATTTGGTAACAATACCATTCTATAAATCATGTTGAAATTTTTTATAACAGACTCCAAATTCTCTGTTCTATGACATCTGGAAATCCCTGCTGAGGGATCTGAGGCAGTCTGCTTGGTGCTTACATGCTACCCTTAATTTGCATTCAGAAGATCTGGTTGTATAATGCCCATCCTGCTTAGTGTGGACCAGTTCCCTGCTGAGCCTGCAGTTTCAGCGCTGCACCTTTGTCCATGTGGTTTCCACTTGTGTGAAGATACCTTTATGCATCTGAGATCTGTAATCTCAATCTGGTGTGCTGCATTCAAAACCAGCACTGACAAATATGTTTAGTGTCCTGAAGTACATTTGTTACCCTGATACGCAATTTATTAAGAGAAAAGATTCTGTTGCAATTTGCTTCATGTTAGGAAAAATTAATTACACCTGACAGAGAGAATTCTCTACAGTGTGAGTTACTGAAAACATACACACAAAGGAACTAGCAGGAAATCGGTGTCCTGACTTCTGAGGAGGTGCTTAATCTTTTTTCAGTGACTAAGCATAAGGATTAATCTCAAATACATGTCCTATATTCAGAAAAGAAATTTTCAAAGCTATTTAAACTCTGTGCAACCAAGGAGATACTGCTTTACATCCTGAATAGTGAATGGCAGGCTCCAGATTGCAATAATAAGCTTCATGGTCCTGCCCTGCCCAGCCTCATCTGGGGCTCCCACCCATGTGTCAGCAGCTCTAGTTAAACTCAGTTCTGGGCATTCAGTCTTTGGGCTATGTTGGAGGAGTACTGGTTTCTGGTTACAGGTTTCCTTGATCCAGACTGTGAATTGACTTTCAGGCTCGATCTCTGACCTGTCTCATCACCACAATGCTGTCTTATATTTACATTCTTGACTCGGCCTACTTGCTACTTCTGGTTTGTCCTGCTTACTTTGCTTGGGTACTGTAGGACTGGGCTTTAGCTTTCCAGTTATGTGATTCCCCTTCCCTTGGGGAGCAGCAGTGCTCTTGTTGCTTTGTGATGGTGTATAGGGCAGTGCAAAGTTAGAGAATTTGCACACTCCTGTCCTTACTTTGCTCAGAGGAATGTTAGTCACCGGTGCCCATGGCAATTCAATGTTTTACATCGTTTTTATAACTGTAGCTTGCTCAAATGTTAGGTCACTGTAAAACTATCTAGAGTGAGGCTGTGAGTCTCTCCAGTCGGTGATGTGACATCAGAGAAAATTCTTGTGTCTGAACTGTAGTCACATGATGGCGACATAGGATTTGTCTCTCAAAACAGATATTAAGGTGAGTGTTACAGACTCTCATTTAGTTTCTTTTTGGTTTTGATTGCAGCCTGACTGTGACAGTGATGGGGAGCTTTTCATCTTCCAGCGGGAACAGCCAAACTTAATTCCTGACCTGTCAGAAGAGCTGATGGAGTTTTCCTTGGATGACTCAAACATGCAGGTTGTTGACTGTTGTGTCTAGGCTCTATTACTGTAGCCCCCTCTCTTCTGGTTGTCACCAGTGCGGGTAGATGCTGTTATTTAACCTGTTTGACTGAAGTGTGTGATGGAAGAGCAGTCCCTAGTACCTTTTCCCCTAGAGACTAGTTTTTCTCCTTATGCCATTTTCTCTGTTCTTGAGTTTTTTAGACCCTTTTTCTCAGTTCCTATTATTGTTCTTTACTGTTTTCTTTTTTTCCTGTGCACTGACACTAACATTGTGCAATGATTTAAACTTTTGCAGGCTCTGAAATAATTTCAGCAACAATTTTATCTATCTAGAAAACAGCGAATCATTTAAGACAGTGTAGGGAGGTATGAAGTTTAACCCTTGAACAGTGTTTTTGAGATAAAATTATTACACTGCTTCTGCAGTGTTGAAGATGAGCCAGCATAGGAAGCTGGAAGATGAGCCAGCTGACCTGACCCTTCCGTCATGGCAACACTAACACAGTGCCGCTTTTTTCTAATTAACCTACTGTAAAGAATGTCATATGATGAACACATGTAAGGAAAATCAATTTTAAGGATTTTTAGCACTTCATGAAGTTCGTCTCTGGAAAGTAAACAGTCTAAACTGTTTTCCATGATGGACATGGTGTGTGCTGTTTCCAAATGGTGTCTGAGTTGGAGCTGCTATCTTAACATTGTGGCTTTATTTATCATCAGCTTCTAAAGCTTAGGGAGATATGACTTTCTAATTGTGTGTATTTTCTCTACCTGTATCAAACCCAGGGAACAGAAAGCCATCCATGGGAGATCTGTAGTGGAGATCTAGAAAGCTTTGGGTTTCAGAAAAAAACAGATGGTGCCCAAGTCATTGCAAAAGATGATGTACAAGTGATTAAAGATGAGACTCCCAGTCTTGCCAGCTATACTGAAGAAATGCGAAACCAAAAGGCAGCTGTTGGTGAAGAGTCTCTTGCAGATTCCACAGATTGCCTTGAAGGGGAAGAACTGGACAGGACACAGGCCAGGGAAATACAGACCTCTTGGCTTAATAAAGCATTGTCTGTGGAGGATTTGAGCAACTGGAAAGAGAGAAGAAAACTGATAGAGACAAAAATACTCTCCAAAATAATCCTGGAGCCATCACAAGGCCACTCGGAGACAGATTTCAAGCCTTCCTCCCATAATGTTAGCAGCAGCCTATTAAAAACTGATAAGGAAGAAAACTCCTCAGATCATCTTCAAGGATCAACCCATCTATCACTGCGGGTAAGTAGCACAAACAATATGTTTTGGGGAGTGCTACTTGTTGAGTAAATGACACAGAGCATTACTTGCAAAAACCTACTAAGATGAAGAACTGAAATGCCCAATTCTGCACACACCATGGTGTTTTTCATGGCTTTCTTCATTGTCCTGAGTTTGGGTTTTGCTGGGTCATGTGCTATGCAAGTTACCAAACGCTCTTGCAGAGCTGCTGTTAGAAGCCCATAATGGGAGCAAAACCCAAGGGTCAGCTGCATGTTTCATGGTCATAATCAGGACAGTCAACCACAACCTCTGGACTTGGGGAGGCAGGAACTCTTCTGATCTCAGCAGACTTTGCATTCAAACAGTTAACCTTCTGGCCTTTCACCATTTTGCCTTCTTTGTAACACTGGGGGGGGGGGGGTGCTGGAGGTGAGGAGATAAAGCAGTTAGGCTTGTTCCTGAAGCCCTAAATCTCACCTACCTACAGCAGGTGCTTAGGGCCACTTGTGTGTGCTTAACTGGTATGTGGCCCTAGCATGGTGAGGTGGTTCTCTTCAGTACTAGTTATGCATCTCTACTTCCTCTATTGATTTTTAAGGTTGTTAAGACTTAATCAGCTCAGAACATGAACATGATAGTTCTGTTCAAAGCCTTCTATAGCATCAGAGTACAGACATTTCCCTTCCCCTTTCATATATGCTCACAAATTGGTGTTAGATCTGTTCTGGTATAGGCAAAGAACGCAGCTTCTTGCCTGTTTTAAACTGTGTTGCATCATTTAACTATACCGTTATGGGAGGGGATCTTTTCCATGTGGTTCAGGGTTTAATTCCCATCTCATCTCATGTAAGTCAGTTGCTCTATTAATTCAGGAGGTGTAGTTGTCCTTTCAGAATCTGTTTGATATCACTGACTTCAATGAACTGAGGTCTGATGCTTTTGGGTGAGTACTGAGGCCAGGCTCAGTGTATTCTCACTTTGATAAAGGGAGGGTAAGGCTTTATCCTTCATGTGTATATTTAGATTTGAGAGGTGGTTGTTACTTCCCAGTTTAGCAAGGTTTAACATAAACCTCAGTTTATGTCAAGTTCTTAAAACCAATATACAGTTTCTTCTTGATTTTAATCATACCAGTTTGTTTAAAAATATTTTTCCCTTAAGTCCCTTTCTATATTAGAAATGGAATCGTGCAAATCTTCATTTCTTTTTCTTCTAGTCCCTGTATAGTACCTTACAATAGTGCTACTCCTGGTAAGGGTTAGGAGAAGAAAGCCTTAATACAGCAGCTGAGGTGGTGGTTTGAGCTTTTGATAATAATGGTTTGTACTTAAGCAGTATTATTGAAACAGAAGCTTATTACAACTGCACCTTAATTAAAGCAAATGCATGTGTCAGGCTGTTTGGTAAAACAGCACCTGCACTGCCCTGTGACATGACTCTTGCTGCAGTAAGCTCACTTGTCAGCCATCCTTCCCTCCTCCAGACCAATACACCTCAGTGACATCCTTGAACCAGTATTAGCTTTGTGTGGTGTGAGACTTCAGCTTGTGATCCTGATCAGGCTTTTACCTTTCATCACCTGCAGTGTGTAATATTAGAACAGATCTAACCCTGGTTCAGGTGTGTATGAAGATTTATTGCTCAGGAAAAAGTGAGAATCCCCTCTTAAATGGCAGGGGCAGGTGACAGGTTTTTACAGGGCGAAACCCCTTGTCTGGGAGGCTGCTGCTGCTTTTCTAAAGCCCTGAGTAGTCACGTGAAATGCACATTGGGGGTGACACAATTGTCATAACTGACAGCCACCTTTCTTTTAAAAAAATCATGGGAACTTCTAAGCTCTAGTGATATTTCAGTTAAAACTTTAATTTCAGCTAATATTCAAAGGGGAAAGCAATCAGTGCTTTAAATGCATGTAAGCTTTTATCATCACAGGCTGATTCTTATATCTAAGCAGGGTGCAGTGTCAGCATACCCACAGCCACTGTATGTGAGTCATAGCAGCAAAATTGATGATCCTGTCTTCAGTGTGGGATAAGCAGCTGTAAGATTACATCTAATGCTGCCTGGGCATAGAGGAGTGGGAATTTGCCCTGGCTGAAGTTGGACAGGGAAGTAAAGGCTGTGGGCCTCACCTCAAAGAATAAAAAGCAGAAGGTCCTTCTCGTGTTGGTAGCATTGAGAAGTTCTCACCATTATTCTGGTTGAGAACATGTATGTTTGGTCTTGTATCAAGCCATCTTTTAATGTGCTTTAGTATCTCCTGTGGTTTTGTGTAGCCTATATCAAAAGGGTCGATGATTCTCAGAGGAAAAACCCTTATCAGAGGTAGATGAAGCAGCTCGACAGATGAGCTGTTGAAAGGGCCATAGCAAATGCATTCCTTTCATTACAGCACTTCCTTGTGGAGCTGCTTAAAGCAAGCTAGCAGTATAGTTAGGAACATCCTCTTGGAGATGGTGAAAGCTTGAGGGAAGAGTACTTGGAGGTGTGGACAGAGGGAAATAAAATCTGTTGGGATCTGGTACTGTTAGTGGGTCTGAGGGATGAAGGGGCGTACCTGCTGTGGGGAAGACTCCACCACGGGAATGCATGTGGAAGATGGAGCCATGAAGAGGACATACCATGACTTATGTCCCAGCTTATGGCAAGATGGGTCAGGTGGATGTTCAGAATGGACTTAGGTGTCTCCTTTTAAGAGGCTTTCAGTTCAGCCCATTATAGAAAATTCTTCTAGACTTCTCAGTTTTAAGTAGGGAGAGAGTACTCCACCTTCATATATTTGAATGAACACTGGTTAGTCCTTCACTGGTTTCTTGTAGCAGTCATACTGCACTTGGCTATGCTAGATGTGCAGAGCCTTGGCAGTGCTGTGAGGCAGGCAGTGTGCAAACAGCAAATGCCCTGCTGTTAGCTGTGTGTCGTGGTTTAAACCTGTGCCAACCACTGAGGCTCACACTGAAGCAACTGTGCCCACAGTGACACACCAGTTCATCTACTGGCAAGTGACAGTGGCTGTTAGGGGAGAAGCTGCTGCCTGAGCATTCACACATGCACCACCCAAAACTTTTAACTGCTGGTCTAGTAGTAAGTTTTGGTGTGGGGACTTGTAACACCCTATTAAGTTCCTTCTCTCTCTTCACACAGGCAGGCCTTTAAGTGTTCTTGTTGAATTGCAGCTTCTGCTGATGGCTGTAGCCTCCTTCTGATTTGTGTTTCTTGTGTGCCTCTTGTTGTCAGAGCATGGGGCACTAAAACACTCCTAGATGTAGGATAAGCATTGCTCATCCACAACTAAAACATCACTGTATTAACAATATTCTTCTCATACTAAAGACAAAACGGAATGCTGCACCAGCTTCTAGGAAAATTACTAAGAAAACTAACTCTAGTCCAGATGAAAGCATTGCTAAGTGCAAGTCCACATCTTGTGGCTCAAACTATTTAAAACTTATTTATGCAAGATAATATCTCTCAACAGTATCATAGTACTGGAGTAAGTAAGGTGGGCTTCCATGCCATTTGTGTATTTATATGTGCCAGGAGAATCTCATGGAGCTGCTACAAAGAATGTGAGACTTATTTTGTAGCAGTCTTTTGGGAAGGAATTTTCCGTCACATCTTGGCTGTCTACTTTCAGAGTATTGAAAAATGGGATCTAGACAAGATTCTTGAGGAGCTGGAGCAGCAGAAAGATAACACTCATGCAGAAGTTCCTTTCTCCTCAGCAGATCATGGTAACACTGCTAAATTAATACCAACTTTGCTGAAAGTGTATAAAAAATAAATAAAACTCAGGTTACTGTGTTTAAGTAATTCTTTGCAGCATCCTTTTGAATGCTGAAATCATGGTGAGTTTTTTTATTGCCTTTGTAAAACATTTTTAATTCATTTCCCTCAAGAAGCCCCATCCCTGGCAGTGTTCAAGGCCAGGTTGGATGGGGCTTGGAGCAGCCTGGTCTAGTGGAAGGTGGTTGGAAATGAATGAGCTTTAAGGTCCATTCCAATCCAAACTAGTCTGGGATTCTATGATTTCATCTTGCTTTTGTAGCTTGAAAGCCGTGCTCTGTGGCTTGCCATGGCCTAAGATTGAATCAGAAAAGATGGATGAAGGTTTGAAGCGAGTCAGGCAGGTGATGATAGTACCTTTGTCCTTCCCCTTCTGACAGGCTGTGGAGAAAGGTTCAATGTGAAATTGGGGAAAGAGGATATTGGGTGATCCTGTGGCAGAGAAACACAACTGTTGATTCTTTTTGTTGCTCTTCTGTAGGCACCTTCAGGACTAAATCTGAAAATCAGCTCATGGAAAAGCTAAAAGAGCTGTGTGCCAGGCAGTCTAGGACTGTGTCTCCGTATTGCAGGTGGCCACCAGCCAAGCTCTCCTTTCAAGAACATCAGGAAAATAAGTAGGTCCTTTTTCTGTCATATACACTGGGTAATCCTGACTGTCAGTAGGGATACCTGGAATCTCATGGTTTTCTACAGGGGATTTTCTCTGTAGCTTCTGCAGAAAGCAGATATTCTAGTTGGAATACATCACAGGGATGTTAAAGGGAATAACTTAGGCTCTGCCATACAGGTACATTTGATGATAAACACTATCCTGCCACCTTAGTGTTTTCCATCAACCACCACCTTTGTCTAGACCTTACCAGACACTTGGGACAAGTGGGAAAGGCAGGAAAACAAGGCAAAGCAAATTATCATGGCCACATTTTTTGTCATCTAGGGTACTGCTTTCCCTTACTGGTACCTCAATTTAGCTAAAGTATACAGGATTATTTTTTTTTGGGGGGAGAGGGTGTCAGCGCATCTTGGAGGGTTCAGTGTGAAGAAAGCGGATTTCCAGATTCTTTGGAAGGAGCATCATCAATGGTGGTAGCACAGAGGAAACAGTAGTGAAACAGACCTGTCAAGGGGAAGGTGAAGAGTTTCCTCATTTTCAGGGCAGGGAGAGCCACAAGACTGATTTGCACCATAAATGCTCTGAAGGATGAAATAGAATTGGCAAAGGAGACAGAGGGGGGAAAAAAGGGACCTGGTTTTACTGATGGGCATAAGCTTTTTAAATGTGTAAGCGCTTTGGTACCATAACTGCTGCCTTTGTTCTTCAGAGCAATTTGATGTTGTCAGGTTTTGAGAACTAAGTATCTGCCACTATGCTACTTCTAGTCTCTGTTCCTCAGGGGAGGCTGAATCTTTGCACTCAGCTTTGAAAGGTGGTGGAGAGTAGGCAGAAGAGGAGTTTGAATCTGTGCAGTAGCCAAGCACAAAGCTCCTTTCACAATCCATTTTGATCATAATCCACACCCTGCAGGGCTTCTTGTCTGGCTAAGGTGGAGGACATGCTGAAACAGAGTTTTCTGTGCTTAGAGGTGTTGCCTCTCCACGAAGTTCTTCAAGGATGGATATGGTGAGCTTACAGAGCCTGCCAGACCCTGCAACCGTGTACATCGACCTGAGAGATGCTAAACTGCAGAAGTCAGTAACGTTCCCTGATGAGGAACAAAGGTAAAGTCTGGCTTTACTGTTAGTGAGAAGTAGGTAACAAAAAGTGAGAAGCTGAAACCTCTCTGCAGCTTGTATTTGTGAAATAGCTTTGAAAGTGTTCTCTCCTTCCACAGCTCTGTGACCTTAGTAGGAAAGTATAGCCCCATCTGAGCACAGGCATTTTCTTAAGACAGAGTAACTCGTGTCGGAACATGTCAACGTGTGGGGCTGCAGGCAGCACAGCCACAATGTGCAAAACATCCAGGGACATCACATTTACAAAGTTTCCATTCGTAAAAGAGTGGGCAGGGACTGCAAAGCAGTGCTGGAGGCATTGGGCCACTGTTGTTACGTTTTGGGTACAAAATGGACATCATTTGCTACATTCCTGGCAAGCAAGGGTAGGTGCTGATTTCTGTCTCTTGTGGGGTAAGAGGGCGGTCTAGGGAGGGCTGAGAGGCCAAATCCTTCTCAGTCTGCAATAGATGCTGGCAAAGATGTTCTTCCCCCTAAAGCTAACAGTGTCTGAGGCAGCTGTTTGCTTCCTTCTCGAGGTGTACATTTGCTGGAGCAAGGGGTTGAAGAAAACAGTCCCCAGAAAAAAACCTTGTAGTTAATAAACAGCTGGTAGTTAAGAAACACTAACAGGTTTTGATGTAGTTGCTTAATTTATTTTTTTGGCAAGAGTACTAGTGTGAAGAACTCTCTAACACCTGCAGCCTAGAAATGACAAAAAGCCAACTCCCAGTTGGAGCAGAGTTAACTCATATGGTCTAATTTGCTTCATAGCACAAGTGACAGCTCCACTGAAGAAGAAGAGACTGTGACGACTGAGGACCAAGCAGAAAGGAGAAGGTGAGATTCTTTACCATGACCTTAGTGCAAATTCTATGATGTTCAGTTTTTCTTCTGAAACTAAAATAATTGCCCTAACAGTGCTTACAGAGACCTCATGTACTAAAACATCTCTGTTTCTGGTCTTCACAGCAAAAAAGCCCAACAACAGCAGTGTTTCAGTCTGACCCTAGGATATCACTCATTTTCTGTTGCATAGTAAAGATACTGAAGCTAGAAAATAGTTGTTGATCCTTGAGGCAGTGCTGCACCTTGGTCCTGTATAGCTGCATGGGAGCAGCTCAAAAGACAATAGAGCAGACCAGGGTGGCTGAGGAACCCTGGTGCTTTCTCCAGACTTGCCAGAGTGACATGAGAACTGTTTTTTCAAATAACTCCGAATCAAACTGAAAATGTTGTAGGGAGCTGACTCAGACAAACCTTTGTATTTAAAATAATAAAATAAGCTAGAATGGATGTTGATTTAAAGAGAGTATTGAACACATTGTGGGCAGAGATGATCTCAAGTCTCCTTAACTGGGAGGAAACAAATAGGGGAAAGGGGAGAGAATGTGGCGAACGGAATCCCAAACTGTAAATTCTTCAGTAGGCACAGAAGCCAACCTATTCTGTTGCTAAAGTCAGGCTTGATTTATACCAATAGGTTGTTAAACACTTGTTTGATGCAAAGCAGCTGTGTCATGTTTTAAACACCTTACTGCGTTTAGGCTCTGGGTTACATCTTGCATGCATCAGGCTTCTAGATGTAATCCAGAGCCTAAATACAGTAAGTTCACATCACAGCAGTACAGAGGGCAAGAACACTTATAATGTTGTGCCAGCCAATTACTCTTTTTATTTTTTATTGGTTTGAAAGAATACATTATTTGATGGGGAATGGAGCCTAACCAACATAATTTAGAACATCTAATCCAAAGCCAGAATAAAGCAGGGACAGGATGATGCTTGGGGACCTCTCACTGGCACTGATGCAAGTGCAGAAGCTTCATCAGTGTAAATCTGGAGTGAAGGAGAGCAGAGCTTAGCAGATTGGGTTTTGATTTGTTTTAATGTTGCTAAAGAACATGCACAAATGAAATGCCTGGCAAATGTTACTCAGTTCTTTTTCTAAATAAAAAAGTCTCAGAGGCTCAGCAGGGCAAGATTCTCATCTCATTCATGAGGGGTCAGTGACAGTTTCACTCTTATCTGGATGGGTTTATTAAACAGGGCTACATATGCTGTTCTACAATGCGCCTACATATTAGGAGAGTCAGTTGGTTTGATCTCCACTCACTTAACCTGAAGAAATACACTTTTATATTTGGAGTGGTTGGGTAGTCAAGGCCACCTCTAGCAAATGCCATAAGGCTGCTCTCTCCTAAATTACCACTGCTTAGGCCTACTCCTTAGTAGTCCAGCCATCAGTGTGAAATATTGATTTGATGGTTCTGGATATGATGGCAGGAGATGTGGGATTCTTAAGGAGAAAGAATATTCTATTTTTTCTTTGTTCTGACATGCATAGGTTTAGTTCAGCTAAGTACAGCAGTATGATGCTCTGTGCTCATACCACCTAACCACAATATTAATATCCAACTCAATCTGTCCATGTGTTTTTAGCTGCCACTAAAATAAGGGATATTATTTGCTCGTAATCACCACATGAACTACAAAGTGGTAGCAGTCTTCCTGGAGCAGATGACTTGGGAGACATCACTGAGCAGAACTGCCAGAAAACATAACCGTATCTGCCCATTATGTCATGACAGGACGTTTCACAACAGAATACTATCACAATATTGTGGTTGCTGACAATTTAGGTGTCTCATTAACGTGGAGAAGACATAGATCAAATCAAGCCAAACACACAAAAATCCTAAAAATTATTAGAAGAACTTTTCTTATGTATGTATTTGAATCCCAACACTTGTATCCAAAGGGGTTAAAAATCTGTAGATTCTAATTTCCCTACCAACATCACATTTGTTCAGGGCTTTTCTGGAAGATGTGAGTTGTGCCTGCAATCCAGAACTGGTGACTAAATTGCCTGTAAGATGTCATTTTCTGTCACTGCAGTGTTCTCTATTGCCTATATGATGATGCTCCTATTAACAACAGCTATTATTTGTGTAGATGTCCAGCTTTTGATTTTAGCTGTCACTCAGAGAAGTTCCTCCGAGTTTGAATTTATTCATATAATGCTTTATCTTGGTTCACTCCAGTTTTTATGTTTGTTGCAGGAGGAATTGTTCAGCGAAAAGCCTGCTACTCCAACAACTCCATAGAGCCCGTAATGAAGCCTCAGAGCTTTCTCATGAAACATCTACCCCAGCTGAAAAACTTGAAGGAATAAAACAGGATCCAGAAAGTCTGGAAGAGATAGGTTCATCTGAAATAAATCAAAGCCCATATTCTGAAGTGAGGCAAGAGACAAGTAAGGTGATTCCCAGGATGAGATTGGAACCAGAGAAGACAAATACCCTGTTGTCGAGCCATGGGGGTAATGGAACTGAGATAGAGAAAGAAACCAAAATGGAAGCTGAGAAGGTTCAAACTTAAGGAAATTCTCCAGAGCCTCCTCTAACTACACCAGAATTGCCAAGGTATCACATGAGAGAAGTCCTCAGCTGTTGTCTATGACTTATCTGATTGTCTAAAATTAAAGAACATTACTTATCCAGTCTGCAAGTTGGAGCAAAAGGATATCTGGTTTTGTTACCTAGAAAGATGTCCAGTCCTGGTGGCTATTACTTAAAGGCTTACTGGATCAGTGAATTGGCCTGGGAGCAGACACACTATGGCAATTCTGACACTGGAAATGAAGCCATTTTCTTTAGGTTTTATCCTGTTTAAGAGGAGGGTAAGACAGTATTGATCTCCTTCATGAAGAATGGTACTGAAATTTACTAAGCACGGAAGGGTCTGTCTCCCTGTGCCAGTATAGAGTGAGGTAAAATCTAGTCCTTTCCTCACAGATCTTTGCTTAACTTGATCTTGAAATCCTCAGGGGTGAGGATTCCTTAACCCCCCCCCCCCCAGGTAGTACCTTTCACTGCTTAATTCTACTTACAATTGTAAAGCTTTTCCTTAAGTCTAAATGATCATATCTCCAATTTAAGCTTTTTTTTTTTGTTGTGTTCGCTGGAGGTATGGAAAACATTTTATTCTGTTTTCCAGCATAAAAAACCTTTTACAAACTGGAATATGTATTGTGTCTCCCCATGTAACTTTTTCCCAAACAAAGCAATTCTAACATTAAGAAAAGCACAAGAGCTTAGAGGGACAAAGTAAACCTCTAAGGAATGGGTTATGCCACAGGAATATCTTGGAAAACTGCTTTTGTATTTAAAGAAAGAGAAATAAGCATGGTATCAACTGAGGAAATAGCATTCTTTGGGCCTCTGCCTCCTTGGGCTTAGTTTAATGTGGTGTATTTTGCATAAGGTCTAATTTGACACTTGAAATTGGGTGGTTGCCTTGTGCACCTGCCCAGCTATGTGGGAGAGCTCCATTATGCTGACTTTCAGAGGTTATATTTTGCTATTTTGGGAATGAAGTTTTACCATTTTGACTTTGCATATAAGCCCTGGAAAGCGTGAGAACCTGTGTGCTCTAGAGACTGTTGCTTTTTTTGGTGTTAAACACTTGCCTACCCTGCCAATCAGACACTGTGCTTGGTTTAAATGGCAGCTGGTTGGTTGCAGAGTTTTTCTCTATGGAATTCCTGACATTAAAGCTTCCTGCTTCATCAATTCTATAAAACTGCATGTTGTCTACCTGTTAGCCTGCCACAGATCTGGCTGGGCCAAAATCTGGGTTATTTATTGTTGCTCTGTAATAGCTTCCAAGGATTTTAATGAATTTCAGTTTTATTGTTGGGGCACCTGGGGCTTGAAGAATTCAGGAGAAATTGAACTTCATATTTGCTGTGGAAATGGCAGATGAAATCTTTCTGCAGACATCAAAACAGAGAAAGCTGGAAGGCTTTGGGTCGGAGGAATGTGTCACTGTATGGCAGCAGATAGGAAAGGAAGTGGAGTTAGATGGGGAATTATGTTCAGGGATGAGATGTGAAACATCACAAACATGCCTCTGCTTAACAGAGTTCTGGTCTCCAAATAGACTGTCACCACTTACTAGAGGTCTGAAGCCTGCTCCTTTGCTTTTTTTTTGAGGATTTTTTTATTTAGAGAGATGATTTTATGCAATGACAAGCTCTTGTGTGTGTGTCCATGTCCCTGCCAAACAACATAAGCACTTTCTAAACCTGTTTTAGCCTCTCATGTCATGATTCACCCTCAAATGTGTGGTATAAATATAAGCAAAAGTACATGCAAACAGATGAATAAGGGTGCCTTTTTTTTTCCCAAGTGAAAAGCTTAAGCAAAGCAGAATCTGTATATTTTTCAGGGCAGAAGAAAGTAAAAAAGAGCTATCCCAAAAGGAAGAACAGATGAAAGAGAGACGTAGGAGACACAGATTCCAGGAGCAGCTGGAGAGACTGCAGCCTCAGCAGTCAGTTACTGGAAAGCAGCCCATGGCAGAGAATACCCCTGTTTTGTGGTTTGGTGTAGGACTGTCCCTTTCAGAATGGTCTCCTAACTGTGTGATTCTAGGAGCAAAAAGTAATTTTCATTGCATTATTTAAACTCTTTGTTATGGAGAACCATTACCTGATGACATGAGCAGTCCTACAGCTCTTCTCTGACACTAATATCTTTCTCACCTTTCCTGTAAGGGGAGTGCTCCCCATATAGCTGCGCACTAGATTTGACATGTCAGTGTATGCCAGGAGTCCTGGCATGCTGAAGTCAGTGAGCTCAGTGTCATCTGCTTCACAAGCACCAGACTTTCACAAACATGATTAATCATAACCTTTTAGAAAAAAATGAAGTTTGTTGTTTTGTTTGGTTTGTTTTTTTTTGTCATACTTCTAAAGCAGAGCTGGGTCTGTTTGTCTGCCCCTAGCAGCTTTGTATTTCAGTTTTGTGGGTAGGTTTTGAGGGTTCTGAGTTTAATAATAGGTTTTGTTCTTGACTGATGTCCTGATTAAGGAAGTATGAAATTATCCTGATTTTCTTCCCAGAGCCTAAGATATGGCTCAGAGGACAGGGCTGTTTTTCCTCTTGAGAAGACTTGTATATGTAGTTCTAATTCATCCTTGCACTGATCTCACTGAACACAAGGCCAGCTGAGAAGGTAAGAGGAGATGAGAACCTCTGGAGTTTGTTCATGAGTCCACCATAAAGATTTATTTGAACCCATAACAGTAACAAAGCTCTTCTGTCAATACACAAGTTGAAAGACCTTAGAGCCCTAAACTGGGAGATGGACCATTCACATCTGGACTTTTTGTAAGCAATTGACTGCTGTATTTCTGGAGATTGAAAGCTCATTTTTGTAGCACTGGATTAATTGCTGATGGGCAGCAAAGAACTAACAAAACTGGAGCTGACTCTCCCTCTGCCAGCTTGCTCTGGCAAGGCCAGTGCACTGCACAGAGTTCTGCTTTGAAGGTGTAAAGGTCATGAATGTAGTCTTCAGACTTGCTTCAGTCTCAGTGTCCTGGGAGGTACCACCAAATAAATTCTAGTTAGCCCTTATTAGGATGCAGGCACATAACTTGCTCATTGGAAATACACTTGGGCCTTGCTAACTCATTCCTGACAGTGCACCAAGTGATTGTTGAGTTGTTCTGCATCTTGATCATTTCCCACACTTGCTGTGCTGAAGCCAGTGAAATGAAGATGAGGGCTTGGTAATGGGGTTTTCCCTCAAGTAGGGCTCAGGGAACAGCTACACTGTAGTCTTGCTGTAACTGAATTGCAGTGTAATGATGCCCATTAATAGACGTAATGATATTCCTGCCAGCTACTCATGGACAGTGGCATAAACTAACCAGCCCAGGGCTTACTCAGTGCCTGATGTTTGTAGAAACAGCTACCCAGTACCTGAACTGGCAGCCTGCTGGAGGGAAACCAGCCTGAGCTTAAGAGGCACTGTTGGTAGAAACAATATCAGCACAACCCATAATAACTTTGTTCTATGAGCGACTGCTCTTAGTTTTACTTCAGAAATATCCGTTATTAAAATTAAGAAAGAAAAATGTATTGGCATCATCAAATACAAGTCATTTGTAAGATTACTTGAAATACATCTTGACAGCAGCATTTTTCTTTGAGTTAGAACAGGTTTTTCTTTTCTTACTTTTTCTCTTTGTTGCTCAGAGGAGCACAGAAAAACTTGAATGTTTTGACATTTAAAACTAAAGAAGCTGTAATTTGGCAGCTGTATCTCAGTGAAAATATCTGATATCTATATATAAACATGTATATTCAAAGAACAAGTCACACTTTGACAGAGTAGCACACTTTCAAATTTGTTTTATAAGTCCTTTGTGTTGGCAATGATAGATGTTCAGATCTGGAACACTTGTCATAGTTTCCAGAATTCCTCTGACCATTTATAATGTACATAAATAATTGAACTGAATAAAAATCAGAGGGAAAGTTTAGAAACTCTGCAATTACTGAGGCTGAGGTGCTGGGAAAGAAAAACAAAGAAAATGTAAAAAGCTGCATTAGGATTGCATTAGAGTTCTTGTCTAAAATTTAAAAGCAGTGACATTCAGATTTAATGCTGGTGGGCTTTTTCTTAACCTAGTTCAGTCAAACTCTGCTCAGCTTCACTCTGGGAAGCACTGATGTAAATGAGAATCAGGTTTGGGAAAAACACTTTCAAACCAGTGCAGGTAATTTAGGAGCCTGAGAACCAGCTTTCAGAGGTATTTCAGGTAAGCCAGCGAGTGGTGATGGGATCCATACTGTGAAGTCAGGCTGAGTTAATAATTTAGAGTAACATGCACAGGCTTTTTTTCAGTATTTGGACAGAGTAAGCATTACTGACAAGGGAGACAGAGAAGGAATGCTGCACAGCATGTAAAATGCTTAAATGGAGGATATGAAATGAAATGGGCTTGATTTGTCATTCATCATGTGTATTATGACAGAGTAACTTACTACCAATGTTGATTTCTGTATTACATTCCCATTAGATTGGATCTGGATAATAGTTAATATCCCAGGCTAATATCTGAGTTTTATGTCAGGGAGCAGCACAAACAGGTTACTGTGTAAAAATAAGACAAGGGAGGAGCTGCAGGTGACAGCAAGGCAGGCAGGGGCAGACACCTCACCAGTGAGGTGTACAGTCCCCCAGTACCCAAACAAGAGCAGAGCAGGTCCATTGAGAGTATCCGATTGGGAAGTCTGTAGGAATGAGGCAGGTTCTAAGATTGATGCCAGAAAGTCTATCTGGGGCAGGACTGGTCCAGTGACAGTCTAGGGTCAGGGTGGGCCAGCACCTCGGTGATCATCCAGGGAGTCTGTAGCGATAAAGCAGGTCTGAGATCAAGCCTCAGGGTCAGATCTGTTAGTTATGGGCATGGTTCACCTGAGTGACATGAGGCCTGGAAAAGGTACAGGTGTGATGTAGCTCAAGGTGACACCAAGGGTAAGTGTCTCAGCTTAAATGCAGCTCCCAAGTGAAGGAGAAGGGCTCAGCAGAGCCTTCACACCACTCATTACTGATCTCATTTGACTTTATTCCCCTGATCTTGTGTCAGAACTGGCCTTGAACACCAGCATAGCCCTGATACTTCACTTCCCACTATGGAATTAATGTACCAGATAGCAACTGGTATTTAGCTTTTTCAAGCCTTTTTATTACTGGGACAAAATAGGTATTTTCAGCAGGGCTTCAGCTTGCTTCTCTCTTTACTGTTACTGCTCTACTGTGATATGGCAGAGCAAGATAAGGAGTTTGAAAGCTGTTTGGAGCCACTTTGCTATCAGTACGTTATAAACACTGTTTTATCTACCTTGTACAGCTAAACTGTTTGGCAGATGAATGTTTTGACTCTTACTGAAGCATCTAATTTTTCTTGGCTACACAATCACTTTGGCTTACCTCGTATTAGTAATTATATTACCATGATCATCATCTTAGTGCAGTTTAGCCTTACAGCTGGTTTACAAAAACATTCAGGCATGCAACAGACTTATTCTAGCTTAACAAATCTGTTATGACGATACTTTTTCTTCTCATAGACTCTGTAACCTTTCTGCCAAAATTGGTAGGGTTTTTAGATTAAGATACCATTGACTCAGCTCACTACTCTAAGGTAAAATTCTCAGCTGAAAGTTTTTCTGCTTGCATTCCCACAAAGCTAACATTACCAATACACTATGTCAAAATCTTCTGTCCCCTATTAGGGCTTTATTCTCCCTTAGATCTGATATTGCTCCTATAGTAAAATCCCTGACAAAATTCCTTGCCACCAGGAGTAGTGCCAAAGCATTTATGTTCAGTCACTGTGGCAGTTACCCTGGATTAGCACAGTATAACTGAAAGTAGAGGTAGATTTCCGAGCTTGTAGAAAGATTTTAGTACAATTACTGCTCCCATATGGGTGTGTTTTGTTCTTTATGGTCTGGGATTTTTTTGTATATATAGTAGGTGCCTTGATCCACACTGTGGTCAGTGAAAAGCTTTTGATTTGTTACCTGTCTTACTAGAATAGGTGTCCATGATTTCCATTACTTCTGTACAGGGGTCTTGATCTCTTTAAGGTAGCATTGGGAATTGCCTTTTTCTGGTGTCTTACCTGAGCACAAAGTGTTGCTCATGAGCACTGAGGGCTCCAGGATCCTAACCCAACAGTTTACCAGCTGGACTGATTGACTTTGGTATTTCACAAACTCCATTGCAGAACTTCTCACATGAATACACTTAGGTGATGTCCTAAGCAATTTTTAAAAAGTCTTCATTTTTAATGTTGTGTGGAGAATGCATAAAGGAAAAAATGGTACGAAAGTGAAGTTCATGTCTTGATAGAGAGAATGTAGAAAGACCTGATCTACCAGTTATGAAAGAAATAAGGTTTGAGCTAGTTCTGTACAGAAATACCAATTAATCTTCCACAAAGTGGTGATTATACATCTTTGGAGAAGTGGAGACAAACTGTACAATCTTATTTCAGTCATAATGATCTTGTGGCACAGTAACTGAGTTTTTCTATATCTGTATTACTCTAAAACTGGGCTTATGAGTATAAATCACCCTGTGACCAAATGTTTTCATACATACTGAACCAAAGCCACTGCTACATTTGCACCTGTGTGGATGTAACTGAACCCAGCATTGAGCCCTTGCTATTATTTTACTATAGCTTAAAAAAAAAAGCACATTAACTATTAACATTACAAACTATTTCCTACCCTAAATCTTTTTCTGACATCGGAGCTGAATTTGGCTTGTGCTTCACTCCCGGACTGTCTGCAGGGCTGTGGCCGGCAGCAATGTGCCAACCAGCCTGCAGATGGCCCCTGAATCTCTCCCCTGGTTTTTGCAGGGAGGGATTTAATGAGTTCCTGAAACAAGATTCAAATCTGTTGTACTTAATGAACTTGCTGCCTCAATTCAAGAAAGGCTTAAAAATAAACGAAGGCAATTAGAGATGTAGTTAAATTTAGCATGCATAATCAGAGGGCCAAGATTCCTGTTTGTACC